TCTTACCACTACACATTAGATCTGTATAGTCCAGTCTGTTGTACCTACAAACCTTCCACACTATCTTACCACTACACATTAGATCTGTATAGTCCAGTCTGTTGTACCTACAAACCTTCCACACTATCTTACCACTACACATTAGATCTGTATAGTCCAGTCTGTTGTACCTACAAACCTTCCACACTATCTTACCACTACACATTAGATCTGTATAGTCCAGTCTGTTGTACCTACAAACCTTCCACACTATCTTACCACTACACATTAGATCTGTATAGTCCAGTCTGTTGTACCTACAAACCTTCCACACTATCTTACCACTACACATTAGATCTGTATAATCAGTCTGTTGTACCTACAAACCTTCCACAGAACAAATACCTTACCATTATACATTCCAGAAAGATAACAAGAGGCCCAAGAGAGCCTGTATCGCTCACCTGAATATTTAAGCAGTCATAGCAAAATATTCTCATTAAATATTATATTGCACTTAAAATATTTCCCCATGCAAACTTTGTTGGCTCCATCTGTTGAAACTACCAGCAAAATATTATTGTAAGATTCTATGCTTTTTTATTCTTCTTCAGAAGGTGCTTGACAAATTTTTCCCTGTGACTTTGTAAGTAGGTCAATGTCATTTTCCTTCTCAAATTGGTTAGCTCTATTCCAAAATGTTACAAGCCAAATCTTAGGAATCCATTCCTTTTGGTTCTTGAGAACAAATCCTTTAAAATGTTGTTGCCCTCTGTGACCTCTAAAGTAGGTTGAGGTCATTTTCATTAGCAAACTTTGGTGAGCTCTATCCCAGGAAGTCACCAGCAAAATATTGTAATTTTATGAATTTTAATTCTTCAGAAGAAGCAGTTTGAACCGTTTGACATATTTGAACGCTGTGACCTTGAAAGTACAGTAAGTCAAGGTAATTTTCATTCTCAAACTTTGTTGGGCTCTTTCCCAGAAAGCTACAAGCCAAATATTTAGGTTCTCTAACTTTCATTTCTTCAGAAGAAGTCGTTTTAATCATTAGACATATCTGACTCATGTGACCTTGAAAGTAGGTCAAGGTCATTTTCGTTTACAAACTTTGTCAGGCTCTATCCAAGGAAGCCACCAGCCAAATATAAAGATTCTATACCTTTCAGTTCTTACGAAGAAGTAATTTGAAGTGTTTGACACATTTGACCCCTGTGACCTTGAAAGTAGGTCAAGGTCATTTTCATTCACAAACTTTATTGAGCACCATCCCAGGAATCCATCAGCCAAATATGAAGATTCTATACCTTTTAGTTCTTCTTCAGAAGTCATTTGAAGTTTTTGACATACTTGACCCCTGTGACCTTGAAAGTAGGTCAAGGTCATTTTCGTTCTCAAACTTTATCGGGCTCCTACCAACAAAGCTTTCAATCGAATATCAAGACTCTAGGCCTGTCCGTTCTTCAGAAGAAGTTGTTTAAAGGAAAAGTTGACGGATGAGGACAGACGATGGACGACGCACCATGACATAAGCCCACTTGCCCTACGGGCAGGTGAGCTAATTACAATACTTCTTTCTCTCTATGATACAATGAAAATACATCTAAAGGGCCTGCAGTCTATCACCCATCTTGATTTTTAGGTAGTCATGACAAAATATTCTTGGCAAAAATAACATTGTAAATATTTTGGGCTGTGCTACTAAACACCAAGCTAATTGGGACAACACTTTTCCTTTATGTAATCTTGTTAATATGATCAACTAATCTGGAGCATTTAAAAAGACTTCAAAGCCAAAATCAATCATTTGCAGCAATGCTTTTCCTCAGCTGCTAGGGACATGACATGCTTCACTGCACATTCAGGTTCAGGCAATGATATGACATGACATGCCTCACTGCACATTCAGGTTAAGGCAATGATATGACATGACATGCCTTAATGCACATTCAGGTTCAGGCAATGATATGACATGACATGCCTTACTGCACATTCAGGTTCAGGCAATGATATGACATGACATGCCTTACTGCACATTCAGGTTAAGGCAATGATATGACATGACATGCCTTAATGCACATTCATGTTCAGGCAATGATACGACATGACATGCCTTACTGCACATTCAGGTTCAGGCAATGATATGACATGACATACCTTAATGCACATTCATGTTCAGGCAATGATATGACATGACATCACTTAATGCACATTCAGGTTCAGGCAATATGACATGAACTGCCTTACTGCACATTCAGGTTCAGGCAATGGTATGACATGACATGTCTTACTGCACATTCAGGTTCAGGCAATGATATGACATGAACTGCCTTACTGCACATTCAGGTTCAGGCAATGATATGACATGACATGCCTTAATGCACATTCAGGTTCAGGCAATGATATGACATGGCATGCCTTACTGCACATTCAGGTTCAGGCAATGGTATGACATGACATGCCTTACTGCACACTCAGGTTCAGGCAATGATATGACATGACATGCCTCACTGCACCTTCAGGTTCAGGCAATGATATGACATGACATGCCTCACTGCACCTTCAGGTTCAGGCAATGATATGACATGACATGCCTCACTGCACATCCAGGTTAAGGCAATGATATGACATGACATGCCTTACTTCACATTCAGGTTCAGGCAATGATATGACATGACATGACTCACTGCACATTCAGGTTCAGGCAATGATATGACATGGCATGCCTTACTGCACATTCAGGTTCAGGCAATGATATGACATAACATGCCTTACTGCACATTCAGGTTCAGGCAATGACATGACATGCCTTACTGCACATTCAGGTTAAGGCAATGATATGACATGACATGCCTTACTGCACACTCAGGTTCAGGCAATGATATGACATGACATGCCTCACTGCACCTTCAGGTTCAGGCAATGATATGACATGACATGCCTCACTGCACCTTCAGGTTCAGGCAATGATATGACATGACATGCCTCACGGCACATTCAGGTTAAGGCAATGATATGACATGACATGCCTTACTGCACATTCAGTTTCAGGCAATGGTATGACATGACATGTCTTACTGCGCATTCAGGTTCAGGCAATGATATGACATGACATGCCTTACTGCACACTCAGGTTCAGGCAATGATATGACATGACATGCCTCACTGCACATTCAGGTTCAGGCAATGATATAACATGACATGCCTTACTGCACATTCAGATTCAGGCAATGATATGACATGACATGCCTTACTGCACACTCAGGTTCAGGCAATGATATGACATGACATGCCTCACTGCACCTTCAGGTTCAGGCAATGATATGACATGACATGCCTTACTTCACATTCAGGTTCAGGCAATGATATGACATGACATGGCTTACTGCACATTCAGGTTCAGGCAATGATATGACATAACATGCCTTACTGCACATTCAGGTTCAGGCAATTATATGACATGACATGCCTTAATGCACATTCAGGTTCAGGCAATGATACGACATGCCCTGCCTTACTGCACATTCAGGTTCAGGCAATGGTATGACATGACATGCCTTACTGCACATTCAGGTTCAGGCAATGATACGACATGACATGCCTTACTGCACATTCAGGTTCAGGCAATGACATGACATGACATGCCTTACTGCACATTCAGATTCAGGCAATGATATGACATGTACTTGGGTCATACAGACAACATTCCAGCACTTTTCTAGCACCTTTAGAGCACTTTTGTTTGAATTTTTCTAGGTCCGAGTTTCATCTTTTCTTAGGATACACAACTGTTATATAGCACAAAATTGAAATAAATTACAACAGATTTTGAATAATTGAATATTGTTTATCTTTAAATAAAAAAAAAAATTCTCTTCACTTTAGTTTTTGCCTTTTGCCCACCATAATGAGGATGAATTGATCAATACAGCAAACATTGGTACACAACTTAGAGAAAGGCTGTGAATTGGATGTACGTGAGATGTTTAAACATGTAATAGGAAATGTAGATACTGAGTTTTATCACAACAGTAGAACAAGGGGAGATAACTGCAACAAAGGTTACTGATGAAAGTACAACATGATACAATATCCCTAAACATATAACAGATTATTGACATCGGACCTAATACAATTTGTTGTACATATTTGTATATTTAAGAAAAGTACACTTAAATAAAAACAAGAACTCAAATATTAATCAACTACCAGTATATATCAACAATTTTTATTAATTTCATGAAGAAAGCAGTTTTGATTAGACAAAAAAACTTATGCATTACATTGCATTACTGTACAACGGAAAAGTTTTACCGAGTCAAATGTTCACCCTTCACCGGTAAAATCCATAACCTCCCAATACCGATTTCACCTTTCACAGGTAATTACAACAAGTCGAAGGTCGTGCCCTAATATTTGCAGTCATGATAAATCTACATTCATGAATGGCGGCAAAAGAAAACCCAAGTTAAACTTTGGTGAAAATATCCTGGTGTACAGTACACAGCCTGTCTTAAAGCTTTAGGGTCACCGGATGAAGTTTTAGGCTTCAGCGTTTAGGTATAACATTTCAATTTAAAGTGATGTGAAAACAAGAAAAATGCATTGTCAATGCAGGTTTGATGAACGCATGGAAGATGTTTGCCAAAATGAAATCTTGATATCGACAAATTCACACAGACGATAAACTATTTCAGCACAGATGATATATAATTGATAGCGTTTACATTACTTGTGGAATACTGATATTAAAATTTTACCATTTTTTACTCCAGGTTTCTTTTGTTATGTGTAAAGTCTTTTGGGTTTATTTTGACTCTTAATGCCAATAATGACCGGCTGTGTTGACAGGCCATTAAGTTTGAACAAACAAACAAACAGTAAACACACAGAAGATAAACGCCTGGACAAAGTCCACTGAACGACATTACACTATAAAGACTTAACATCGATGTCATATGATGCCAGCAGATACAGGACAGACTAGGTCTTCAATATGGTAGTCAAATGGTCATCCTTACCTTGTGGTCAAACGGGTCATCCTTGTCTGCCTGTTTACGGCCACAGTTACACACTGCCTTGGTCTTCATCTGGCTGGAGTGTGACATTACAGGTAGGTGGGCACTCTCCTCTGTCTCTGCTTCCTGGTGGAGGAGGCGGTGTAACTACAGCAGAAACACAAATTGTCAAACTTGAGACAGACTCTCACAAAATATGTCATAATTTATACAAAATATCAATCTTCAGATCAACCCTGTAACTACCTCACAGAATATGTCATAATTTATACAAAATATCAAACTTCAGACCGACCCTGTAACTACATCACAGAATATGTCATAATTAACTCAAACTACAAAGAGATATTGCAGCATAAACACTAGTTAAAGGGAGATAACTCAAACTTGCTGGGTTCACACTGTAACTGAGGCTGGCCTCCTGATGTTTAAGTTGACGAAGTAGTTCCCAGTGAACCTCTCAGATTTGCTTGGTTCTCACCGTCTGCAGTTTCCAGTTACTACCTCAGACTTATGGAGTTCTTACAGTTTGTGTTTTCTATCTAATAGCATTAGAATAACTTAGTTCCAACAGTTGGTGGTTTCTATCTAATAGCATCAGAATAACTTAGTTTATACAGTTGGTGGTTTCCATCTAATAGCATCAGAATAACTTAGTTCCTACAGTTGGTGGTTTCTAGCTAATAGCATCAGAATAACTTAGTTCCTACAGTTGGTAGTTTCTAGCTAATAGCAACAGAATAACATAGTTCTTACAGTTTGTGGTTTCTATCTAATAGCATCAGAATAACTTAGTTCCTACAGTTGGTGGTTTCTAGCTAATAGCATCAGAATAACTTAGTTCCTACAGTTGGTGGTTTCTAGCTAATAGCATCAGAATAACTTAGTTCCTACAGTTGGTGGTTTCTAGCTAATAGCATCAGAATAACTTAGTTCCTACAGTTGGTGGTTTCTAGCTAATAGCATCAGAATAACTTAGTTCCTACAGTTGGTGGTTTCTAGCTAATAGCATCAGAATAACTTAGTTCCTACAGTTGGTGGTTTCTAGCTAATAGCATCAGAATAACTTAGTTCCTACAGTTGGTGGTTTCTAGCTAATAGCATCAGAATAACTTAGTTCCTACAGTTGGTGGTTTCTAGCTAATAGCATCAGAATAACTTAGTTCCTACAGTTGGTGGTTTCTAGCTAATAGCATCAGAATAACTTAGTTCCTACAGTTGGTGGTTTCTAGCTAATAGCATCAGAATAACTTAGTTCCTACAGTTGGTGGTTTCTAGCTAATAGCATCAGAATAACTTAGTTCCTACAGTTGGTGGTTTCTAGCTAATAGCATCAGAATAACTTAGTTCCTACAGTTGGTGGTTTCTAGCTAATAGCATCAGAATAACTTAGTTCCTACAGTTGGTGGTTTCTAGCTAATAGCATCAGAATAACTTAGTTCCTACAGTTGGTGGTTTCTAGCTAATAGCATCAGAATAACTTAGTTCCTACAGTTGGTGGTTTCTAGCTAATAGCATCAGAATAACTTAGTTCCTACAGTTGGTGGTTTCTAGCTAATAGCATCAGAATAACTTAGTTCCTACAGTTGGTGGTTTCTAGCTAATAGCATCAGAATAACTTAGTTCCTACAGTTGGTGGTTTCTAGCTAATAGCATCAGAATAACTTAGTTCCTACAGTTGGTGGTTTCTAGCTAATAGCATCAGAATAACTTAGTTCCTACAGTTGGTGGTTTCTAGCTAATAGCATCAGAATAACTTAGTTCCTACAGTTGGTGGTTTCTAGCTAATAGCATCAGAATAACTTAGTTCCTACAGTTGGTGGTTTCTAGCTAATAGCATCAGAATAACTTAGTTCCTACAGTTGGTGGTTTCTAGCTAATAGCATCAGAATAACTTAGTTCCTACAGTTGGTGGTTTCTAGCTAATAGCATCAGAATAACTTAGTTCCTACAGTTGGTGGTTTCTAGCTAATAGCATCAGAATAACTTAGTTCCTACAGTTGGTGGTTTCTAGCTAATAGCATCAGAATAACTTAGTTCCTACAGTTGGTGGTTTCTAGCTAATAGCATCAGAATAACTTAGTTCCTACAGTTGGTGGTTTCTAGCTAATAGCATCAGAATAACTTAGTTCCTACAGTTGGTGGTTTCTAGCTAATAGCATCAGAATAACTTAGTTCCTACAGTTGGTGGTTTCTAGCTAATAGCATCAGAATAACTTAGTTCCTACAGTTGGTGGTTTCTAGCTAATAGCATCAGAATAACTTAGTTCCTACAGTTGGTGGTTTCTAGCTAATAGCATCAGAATAACTTAGTTCCTACAGTTGGTGGTTTCTAGCTAATAGCATCAGAATAACTTAGTTCCTACAGTTGGTGGTTTCTAGCTAATAGCATCAGAATAACTTAGTTCCTACAGTTGGTGGTTTCTAGCTAATAGCATCAGAATAACTTAGTTCCTACAGTTGGTGGTTTCTAGCTAATAGCATCAGAATAACTTAGTTCCTACAGTTGGTGGTTTCTAGCTAATAGCATCAGAATAACTTAGTTCCTACAGTTGGTGGTTTCTAGCTAATAGCATCAGAATAACTTAGTTCCTACAGTTGGTGGTTTCTAGCTAATAGCATCAGAATAACTTAGTTCCTACAGTTGGTGGTTTCTAGCTAATAGCATCAGAATAACTTAGTTCCTACAGTTGGTGGTTTCTATCTAATAGCATCAGAATAACTTCGTTCCTACAGTTGGTGGTTTCTAGCTAATAGCATCAGAATAACTTAGTTCCTACAGTTTGTGGTTTTCAGTGTGTGTTACTTCTAAGACTTACTGGATTGACACAGTGGTTCCCAGTGAGGCTGACTTCCTCACAAAGCTGGTGGCCATTTTTCCAGTATTTCTCACATGCAGCCTCCAGCTGTTTTAGGTACTTCTCACAAGCAGGGCCTCGGGCAAACTGATAAAACACACGATGGGCCTGGGCTAGCTGTACAAATAGGAGGATTAATGTTATTTCAAATACTACGAAGTTCAAGGTAAGTGTATTGGAAATTGTCAATTTATATTTAATTTATTTCCAAGAAGTGATAAGAAAGCATTGTTTTCTTTTACTGTACAATAAACTAAAAAAAATCTATGAATTATTCATCGCATCTGTTTTCACCATGACAAATCACGGATTAATTTGTGATTTCAGTTTTGATAACCATTTTACAATATTTTCATACATAATAATTATATACATTGTAGAAATGTCTACATAATAAGATAAGCTTACAATCTACAATCTTCTGTACCCATACATACAGTCAACTTCAGAGGATCATCTCTATCCTTAGCCGTTAGATGGTTTGGGAGCTTTGACAGAAAGAAAAAAAAAATTGCTACTGTGTGTAGCAACATATATTAATGCCGCAAGAAATTCCTGAAGCAGTTGATTTCCCATTACGTGTGATGTTTTAAAGGAGAGAGGTTCAGGCTTACCTTGGTCAGGTGAAAGTTTGTGATATAATGAGTGGGAAGTCCCTCCTGGTACGCGGCCTCAGCCAGGGGCAGAACCTTGTTACAGCGACTGTAATGAACAGAACTTGGTAACACTGACTTAACTCACAGATATCACATTTCTGATTATTTAATTTGATTTAATTTTTAAACAAAGGGCCAAATGGGCCTGCATCGCTCACCTGGAATTAATCTCACACTTGCAATCTTAAAAGTGGAATAAAATACAGAACCCATTAATATATTTAAACATATGCCGCCTGTGACCTTGAATGTTGAACAGGGACATTAGGTTGAAAGTGGGTCAAGGTCATTCATTTGAGCAAACTTGGTAGTCATTCATCCCAGCATGCTACAGGCCCAATATAAGTACCCTTAGCCTTTTGGTTATTGAGGAGAAGTGGTTTGAAGATTATACGACATTTGACCCCTCTGACATTAAAAGTGGGTCAAGGCCATTCATTTGAACAAACTCTGTAGCCCTTCATCCCAGCATACTACAGGCCCAATATCAGTGCTAGGGCCTTTTGGTTATTGAGAAGAAGTCGTTTGAAGATTTAAACATATTTGACCCATGTGGCCTTGAAAGTGGGTCAAGGTCATTCATTTGAACAAACTCAGTAGCCCTTTATTCCAGCATGCTACAGGCCCAATATCAGTACCCTGGGCCTTTCGGTTATTGAGAAAAAGTAGTTTGAAGATTTTAAGACATTAGCCCCTGTGACCTTGAAAGTGAGTCAAGGTCATTCATTTGAACAAACCTGGTAAATCTTCATCCCAGCATGCTACATGCCCAATAACAGTACCCTGAGGCTTTTGGTTATTGAGATGAATTTGTTGGAAGATTTTAAGACATTTGATCCCTGTGATCTTGAAAGTGGGTCAAGGTCATTCATTTGAACAAACTTGGTAGCCTTTCATCTCAGCATGTTACTGGCCAATATCATCACCCTTGACCTTTTGGCTATTAAAAAGAAGTCTTTTAAAATAAAATATTGAAGCCGGATGATGGACGGACGACGGACGCCGCACCACGGCATAAGCTTACTTGGCCCTTCGAACCAGGTGAGCTAAAAATGTAAAGAAATCAAAGCATTGTAATTGTTTGTTGAACCATTTTAGGAATATTACAAAGCAGACTTGTTAAGAAAATAAAATAATAATAATAAATCCATTATTTTAACAATCATTTTGAGCTAGTGGTCAATGAGCAGTGAACTTACTTCTCGGAGAAGCGGATATCCGTCTCCAGTAGACTCTTGAGTGTGTTGAAGGTGGCGTGTGCCTTGCCATTGACAGTATCCCCAAAGAAGAAGTTGTATAACTTAGAGGACACAGAAAACCAGGTCTGGCATGTCGGCACCTAAAGATGATGATTAAATCACATATAATGTACAGAATATGTATCATATACCAGCTTATTGATATCTAAGTGTATTGTATAATATATGCAGAGTTATTGATATCTTAGTGTATTGTATAAGATATGTAGGCTTATTGATATCTAAGTGAATTGTATACAATATGTAGAGTTATTGATATCTAAGTGTATTGTATAAAATATGTAGGCTTATTGATAGACAAATTGTTGATTCCATGATTAGGAAGCAGGACCTTGTACATCATACCTATAGCCCATCAGAATGATGAGATTTTGAATGTGTATCTACTCACTGCTTGTATATCATTTGTGTATAATGCATTTGCAAAATGATCAAAAATACCTAAAATCTGTGGTAACCAAACTTCAAATTTACCTTAATACATACATGTAGGTGATAACTGTGCAATGTTTCAATTAAAGTCCACAACATTAATTGAGGTTTAAGCTAATAAATTTCTATTTCACCGAAAGATCAAAAGTTGATTTGTGTCTCAAATGTAAACACATATATTGGTGTTGAATGCATTTCTAGGCCTGACAGTAATGATCTGACAAAGAGACCACTGTGTAACAAACATACTTCAAAGATAGGTGGGACGGGATTCCGCCCCACATTGTCATCAAAGCCACGTCCCAGTGCTGTCTCTATGTGCTGCGATAGGAACTCTTTAAAGTTGGAGGAGCTGCCTGACCTCTGTGTCCGTGACGGTGACCTTGTGTCCAGAAAACCAGACTGTGCTGATCTCCTATTGGCCTGATAACTCTGGCTTCTGGGAGAATCTGAGAACGGAAGATAACTGTCAAGATACTGATATCAAAGTCAGATTCAGTGATAAATCTACATGCAAGTCCTGGGTCCTGTACCCAAAGAATTTTGATTTGAACCGTAGAATTTCTGAAAATGCTCAAATTTATTTGGACCTATATCATTTAACCATACAGGGGGGAAAGGCCCATACAACCTAATTGTAGATTGATCACTGTATACTGTAAACGTGGTTATTTATGCTGGGTGAAAATTATGCGATTTGAAGGTCAAAACTATACGCGCCGGGGTAATTTACGCGGTCGCGGTAGACCGATGTTTACTCTGCATAGTTATCTCCCTTACTTTACAAAATGTGTACAGGTAAAAATACTAGTAGCTACTGAGTACATGTTACGTATGCGTACCCACTGGTCATTGGACAGATGAAAGTAAAGGTGAACTGTATTCATGTCATTTTTGTGTATGTGTGTGTCTGATATGTACCGGACCTCGATGCACCCGGGTTTATGCATGACTTTCTCTGTGCCTTTATATAGATTTTCAAATTTGTTGTTCATTCAAAATTTCAATTTATCAGGTAGTTTATTTCAGTTGTGATTGTTTTTATTTTATACCATTACAAGATAATGTACGTTCATAAGGAATACGTTAACAAAGCAAAATTACAGGAGGACATCACACACATACAAATATCTATCAGAGCTGCATAATAAGCGTAAACTTACCCTGCGCGTAATATTCCACGTTTACAGTATTTATACTCCACGTTTACAGTATTTATACACAATGTACATATTTAATGTGTTAGAACATTTTACGGCCAACTGCTCCCTTTGTCAAGCTATGAATGAGTGAGTGATTTGTATGGTTTACCTGTACAACGATGTGAGGAAATGTTTAATTTCACATGTCACTCGACATTGAATGTTTCTTCAATCAATAGAGAATGTATACACACTGTATCCAATAGGTTACTGATTGGATACTGTCAGGTCACTGATTACCACTGAGTTAACACAGTGTATCCAATAGGTTACTGATTACCACTGAGTTAACACACTGTATCTAATAGGTTACTGATTGGATACTGTCAGGTTACTGATACCACTAAGTTAACACAGTGTATCCAATAGGTTACTGATTACCACTGAGTTAACACAGTGTATCCAATAGGTTACTTATTACCACTGAGTTAACACACTGTATCCAATAGCTTACTGATTACCACTGAGTTAACTCACTGTATCCAATAGGTTACTGATTACCACTGAGTTAACACACTGGATCCAATAGGTTACTGATTACCACTGAGTTAACACACTGTATCCAATAGGTAACTGATTACCACTGAGTTACCACACTGTATCCAATAGGTTACTGATTACCACTGAGTTAACACACTGTATCTAATAGGTTACTGATTGGATACTGTCAGGTTACTGATACCACTAAGTTAACACAGTGTATCCAATAGGTTACTGATTACCACTGAGTTAACACACTGTATCCAAAAGGTTACTGATTGGACACTGTCAGGTTACTGATACCACTAAGTTAACACACTGTATCCAATAGGTTACTGATTGGATATTGTCAGGTTACTGATACCACTGAGTTAACACACTGTATCCAATAGGGTACTGATTACCACTGAGTTAACACACTGTATCCAAGAGGTTACTGATTGGATACTGTCAGGTTACTGATACCACTGAGTTAACACACTGTATCCAATAGGGTACTGATTACCACTGAGTTAACACACTGTATCCAATAGGTTACTGATTGGATACTGTCAGGTTACTGATACCACTAAGTTAACACACTGTATCCAATAGGTTACTGATTACCACTGAGTTAACACACTGTATCCAATAGGTTACTAATTGGATACTGTCAGGATAAAAATTATCACTGATTTAACACACTGTATCCAATATATTGACAAAAGTGTGTCCACATTCACCAGAAAGATATATCAAGATTTTGCAGGTCAAAACAAGAGGCCAAGAGGGCCTGTATTTCTCACCTGGATATATTTAAATTACTTGAAATAATGTTAAGATATGGCACTCCATGGTATGTACTGTATGTACATATGAAGTTTCAGAAAGATCCATCCAGTATTTCTTGAGATATAGCGAAAACAAACTTCAAATGTCAAAATCAAAGATGGCAGCCTGGTGGTCATCTTGTTTTAATGTATACACCCTAATAGTAACAGGCACTACTAGACAACTTGATGGAGACCTAATTGGGATAAAATCCTGTAATCCCTATGGTAGAAGAAGGATTTTAAAGGTTTTACCTCGATTTCCCCTATTGGGCCCGCTCCTCTACCCTGGGGGCCACACCCACCATTTATACAAAATTGAGTGCCCTTGGCCCAAGCATGCTCGAGACCAAATTTAGTTAAAATCTGCAAAGCCGGAAAAGTTGACAGATCGACTGATGGCCAGTGGATGCTGCACCGTGGCATAAGTTCACTTGCCCTTTGGGCAGGTGAGGTAAAAAAAACTGGCCAATCGCTTAGGCTGATACCTGTCCTTCGAAGAATTCAGAGGATTAGCATCTGACTTCAAAGACAGTCAATTTTACAGTAACACGATTGCAAGATTCTCTTGAAGTACATGAAAGGATCAAACTAGTCTCCTTAGGTACACATTGAGCATTTGATCTTGTCTTGACATATTCCAGGGGTGCAGGGAACGTAAGTGAGTGTAACCCTGAAGTATCAATGATGGTGGTTTGTCTGATAGCTACCATGTTACTGAAAACCATTCTATACTACAGGAGTTGTGGTATCGACTATGGACACAGTTTTGTTAGGTTACAGACAGTTCACCGTTGAAATTACAGAGGTTATGCTCTTTTATGCTCTCTGTATCCCTGGAATATATAATATGATGAAATCAAAGGCTCTGTATGGCTAGTTTGATCCTTTGATGTACATAGCACAGCATTGTAAAGATAAAATTAACCAGCTTTAATGTTGGATGTTGCTTCTCTGTAATCTTCAAAGGACAGGTATCACTTAAACAACTGGTCAGTTTCTGTTTCATACCTGAAACCAATTAAATAGCTAACTATGCGCCTTCAATTTTGCAATGACATAATCAAGGGAAGCAGAGAACATAAGTGAGCATAATCCCAGGAATTTTGAGGATGCAAAGAGACAGACAGACAGACAGACAGACAGACAGACAGACAGACAGACAGACAGATAGACAGGAGACTGATAAACCTATCCAGTCATACACTGAACAGACTTATACACTGACCAGAGTTATACAATGACCAGAGTTATACACTGACCAGAGTTATACACTGACCAGAGTTATACATTGACCAGAGTTATACACTGACCAGAGTTATACACTGACCTGAGTTATACACTGACCAGAGTTATACACTGACCTGAGTCTTTGTTGAGTGTGCTGTTGCTCCTGAGCTGCTGTAAGTATAGCTGGATGGGATCTGTCACCTCTGGCTGGTGGCCATGGAGGAACACGAATTCCTGGTTAGCTGGTACAGCAAACAGCGAATTGTTACTGTAATTCAAAACACACAGATTACCTGGTACTGTAACACTGGTAGATAATGTTAACAAGTAGGTAACTGTCACATAGTTGGTTATTTTGATAACATTAGCTACCCCATCTATATGTCTTGTAACAACAAAATATTTGTATAACAATCTGATTCACAATTTTTGTAAATACATGCAAATAATGTTCACTTTTTATAGCAAAGTAATTACAGGTAGGTCCAACATCAACATGGTGATGACTCCGGACTGACCTATAACCCTCGACTGATCTGATGTAGGTGATGACTCCGGACTAACCTATAACCCGCGACTGATCTGATGTAGGTGATGACTTCGGACTGACCTATAACCCTCGACTGATCTGATGTCTGTTATGACTCCACACTGACCTATAACCCCTCGACTGATCTGATGTAGGTGATGACTCCGGACTGACCTTTAACCCTCGACTGACCTGATGTAGGTGATAACTCCGGACTGACCTATAACCCTCAACTGATCTCACGTAGGTAATGACTCCTGACTGACCTATAACCCTCGACTGACCTGATGTAGGTGATAACTCCGGACTGACCTATAACCCTCAACTGATCTCATGTAGGTAATGACTCCTGACTGACCTATAACCCTCGACTGATCTGATGTAGGTGATGACTCCGGACTGACCTATAACCCTCGGCTGATCTGATGTTGGTGATGACTCTGGACTGACCTATAACCCTCGACTGATCTCATGCAGGTGATGACTCCGGACTGACCTATAACCCTCAACTGACCTCATGTAGGCCATGACTCCGGAATGACCTATAACCCTCGACTGATCTGATGTAGGTAATGACTCCTGACTGACCTATATCCCTCGACTGATCTGATGTAGGTAATGACTCCTGACTGCCCTATAACCCTCGACTGATCTGATGTAGGTAATGACTCCTGACTGCCCTATAACCCTCGACTGATCTGATGTTGGTGATGACTCCGGACTGACCTTTAACCCTCGACTGATCTAATGTAGGTGATGACTCCGGACTGACGTATAACCCTCAACTGATCTGATGTAGGTGATGACTCCGGACTGACCTATAACCCTCGACTGATCTGATGTTGCTGATGACTCCGGACTGACCTTTAACCCTCGACTGACCTGATGCAGGTGATGACTCTGGACTGCCCTATAACCCTCGACTGATCTGATGTTGGTGATGACTCCGGGCTTACCTTTAACCCTCGACTGATCTAATGTAGGTGATGACTCCTGACTGACGTATAACCCTCAACTGATCTGATGTAGGTGATGACTCCGGACTGACCTTTACCACTCGACTGACCTGATGCAGGTGATGACTCTGGCCTGACCTATAACCCTCGACTGATCTGATGTAGGTGATGACTCCGGAATGACCTATAACCCTCGACTGATCTGATGTAGGTGATGACTCCGGACTGACCTTTAACACTCGACTGACCTGATGCAGGTGATGACTCTGGACTGACCTATAACCCTCGACTGATCTGATGTAGGTGATGACTCTGGACTGACCTATAACCTCGACTGATCTGATGTAGGTGATGACTCCGGACTGACCTATAACCCTCGACTGATCTGATGTAGGTGATGACTCCGGACTGACCTATAACCCTCGACTGATCTGATGTAGGTGATGACTCCGGACTGACCTATAACCCTCGACTGATCTGATGTAGGTGATGACTCCGGACTGACCTATAACCCTCGACTGATCTGATGTAGGTGATGACTCCGGACTGACCTATAACCCTCGACTGATCTGATGTAGGTGATGACTCCGGACTGACCTATAACCCTCGACTGATCTGATGTAGGTGATGACTCCGGACTGACCTATAACCCTCGACTGATCTGATGTAGGTGATGACTCCGGACTGACCTATAACCCTCGACTGATCTGATGTAGGTGATGACTCCGGACTGACCTATAACCCTCGACTGATCTGATGTAGGTGATGACTCCGGACTGACCTATAACCCTCGACTGATCTGATGTAGGTGATGACTCCGGACTGACCTATAACCCTCGACTGATCTGATGTAGGTGATGACTCCGGACTGACCTATAACCCTCGACTGATCTGATGTAGGTGATGACTCCGGACTGACCTATAACCCTCGACTGATCTGATGTAGGTGATGACTCCGGACTGACCTATAACCCTCGACTGATCTGATGTAGGTGATGACTCCGGACTGACCTATAACCCTCGACTGATCTGATGTAGGTGATGACTCCGGACTGACCTATAACCCTCGACTGATCTGATGTAGGTGATGACTCCGGACTGACCTATAACCCTCGACTGATCTGATGTAGGTGATGACTCCGGACTGACCTATAACCCTCGACTGATCTGATGTAGGTGATGACTCCGGACTGACCTATAACCCTCGACTGATCTGATGTAGGTGATGACTCCGGACTGACCTATAACCCTCGACTGATCTGATGTAGGTGATGACTCCGGACTGACCTATAACCCTCGACTGATCTGATGTAGGTGATGACTCCGGACTGACCTATAACCCTCGACTGATCTGATGTAGGTGATGACTCCGGACTGACCTATAACCCTCGACTGATCTGATGTAGGTGATGACTCCGGACTGACCTATAACCCTCGACTGATCTGATGTAGGTGATGACTCCGGACTGACCTATAACCCTCGACTGATCTGATGTAGGTGATGACTCCGGACTGACCTATAACCCTCGACTGATCTGATGTAGGTGATGACTCCTGACTGACCTATAACCCTCGACTGATCTGATGTAGGTGATGACTCCGGACTGACCTATAACCCTCGACTGATCTGATGTAGGTGATGACTCCGGACTGACCTATAACCCTTGACTGATCTGATGTAGGTGATGACCCCTGACTGACCTATAACCCTCGAATGATCTGATGTAGGTGATGACTCCGGACTGACCTATAACCCTCGACTGATCTGATGTCGGTTATGACTCCGGACTGACCTATAACCCTCGAATGATCTGATGTAGGTGATGACTCCGGACTGACCTATAACCCTTGAATGATCTGATGTAGGTGATGACTCCAGACTGACCTATAACCCTTGACTGATCTGATGTAGGTGATGACTCCGGACTGACCTATAACCCTTGACTGATCTGATGTAGGTGATGACTCCGGACCGACCTATAACCCTCCACTGATCTGAGGTAGGTGATGACTCCTGACTGGACTCCGGACTGACCTATAACCCTCGACTGATCTGATGCAGGTGATGACCCCTGACTGACCTATAACCATAACTGATCTTATGTAGGTGATGACTCCGGACTGACCTTCAAACCTCGACTGATCTGATGTAGGTGATGACCCCTGACTGACCTATAACCATAACTGATCTTATGTAGGTGATGACTCCGGACTGACCTTCAAACCTCGACTGATCTGATGTAGGTGATGACTCCTGACTGACCTATAACCATAACTGATCTGATGTAGGTGATGACTCCGGACTGACCTATAACCCTCCACTGATCTGAGGTAGGTGATGACTCCTGACTGACCTATAACCCTCGACTGATCTGATGTAGGGGATGACTCCTGACTGACCTATACCCATAACTGATCTGATGTAGGGGATGACTCCGGACTGACCTATAACTCTCCACTGATCTGAGGTAGGTGATGCCTCCTGACTGACCTATAACCATAACTGATCTTATGTAGGTGATGACTCCGGACCGACCTATAACCCTCCACTGATCTGAGCTAGGTGATGACTCCTGACTGACATATAACCCTCGACTGATCTCATGTAGGTGATGACTCCAGACCGACCTGATGTTAATGATCTTTGACCGACCTATGACCTCTGCCTTATTTTGGTGATGACACCTGACTGACTTATGACCCCTGACTGACCTATAACCTACGACTTACCTTATGTTGGTGATGACCCGAGACTTGCGCAGGATGCGGTATATTTGATCCTCCATACTGTGCTGGGGTTTACGAGCTTGGGGATTTTTCTGTTAGAACAAATACAGTCATTTAATTTATGTCTACAATCAAATATGAAGCAGTATTATCAATGAGATCCTATAAATATTTTGGAATACACACTTTTTCAATAGCAATATCAATGTGTTATATCTACAAAACCCTCCAGAGAACATAAGTGTAACTATCTCTACACTAGATCACTGTATACCACAGATCATCTACACTACCTACCTTACTGATGGTTCCGGTGTCAGTATCTTCAGACATCGGCTCAGGGTTGCCCGACTTGTTGAAGACAAACAAGACTCGCGGGGAACATGGTCTTGCCGAGTGGTACCAGTCCTTGGATACAGGTAAGCCCTGTAACTGTTCTGTCACGCAGTGCTGTAACTTCAGTCTGTAACAGATCACAAAGTATTAAAGATATCTAACAGTAGCAGAGTGGTACCAGTCCTTGGATACAGGTAAGCCCTGTAACTGTTCTGTCACGCAGTGCTGTAACTTCAGTCTGTAACAGATCACAAAGTATTAAAGATATCTAACAGTAGCAGAGTGGTACCAGTCCTTGGATACAGGTAAGCCCTGTAACTGTTCTGTCACGCAGTGCTGTAACTTCAGTCTGTAACAGAAAGTATTAAAGATATCTAACAGTAGCAGAGTGGTACCAGTCCTCAGATACAGGTAAGCCCTGTAACTGTTCTGTCACGCAGTGCTGTAACTTCAGTCTGTAACAGAAAGTATTAAAGATATCTAACAGTAGCAGAGTGGTACCAGTCCTCAGATACAGGTAAGCCCTGTAACTGTTCTGTCACGCAGTGCTGTAACTTCAGTCTGTAACAGAAAGTATTAAAGATCTCTAACAGTAGCAGAGTGGTACCAGTCCTCAGATACAGGTAAGCCCTGTAACTGTTCTGTCACGCAGTGCTGTAACTTCAGTCTGTAACAGACACAAAGTATTGAAGATATCTAACAGTAGCGGAGTGGTACCAGTCCTTGGATACAGGTAAGCCCTGTAACTGTTCTGTCACACAGTGCTGTAACTTCAGTCTGTAACAGAAAGTATTAAAGATCTAACAGTAGCAGAGTGGTACCAGTCCTTAGATACAGGTAAGCCCTGTAACTGTTCTGTCACACAGTGCTGTAACTTCAGTCTGTAACAGAAAGTATTAAAGATCTAACAGTAGCAGAGTGGTACCAGTCCTTAGATACAGGTAAGCCCTGTAACTGTTCTGTCACACAGTGCTGTAACTTCAGTCTGTAACAGAAAGTATTAAAGATCTAACAGTAGCAGAGTGGTACCAGTCCTTAGATACAGGTAAGCCCTGTAACTGTTCTGTCACACAGTGCTGTAACTTCAGTCTGTAACAGAAAGTATTAAAGATCTAACAGTAGCAGAGTGGTACCAGTCCTTAGATACAGGTAAGCCCTGTAACTGTTCTGTCACACAGTGCTGTAACTTCAGTCTGTAACAGATCACAAAGTATTAAAGATATCTAACAGTAGCAGAGTGGTACCAGTCCTTAGATACAGGTAAGCCCTGTAACTGTTCTGTCACACAGTGCTGTAACTTCAGTCTGTAACAGAACACAAAGTATTAAAGATATCTAACAGTAGCAGAGTGGTACCAGTCCTTAGATACAGGTAAGCCCTGTAACTGTTCTGTCACACAGTGCTGTAACTTCAGTCTGTAACAGAAAGTATTAAAGATCTAACAGTAGCAGAGTGGTACCAGTCCTTAGATACAGGTAAGCCATGTAACTGTTCTGTCACACAGTGCTGTAACTTCAGTCTGTAACAGAAAGTATTAAAGATCTAACAGTAGCAGAGTGGTACCAGTCCTTAGATACAGGTAAGCCATGTAACTGTTCTGTCACACAGTGCTGTAACTTCAGTCTGTAACAGAAAGTATTAAAGATGTCTAACAGTAGCAGAGTGGTACCAGTCCTTAGATACAGGTAAGCCCTGTAACTGTTCTGTCACGCAGTGCTGTAACTTCAGTCTGTAACAGAACACAAAGTATTGAAGATATCTAACAATATATACAGTTACACAGTAACTATACAATTATTAACTATTGCTGAGGTCTATATGTAATTCTACTGACTTAAAAAAAAATCATACTAAATAAGGAGATATTCCAAGTGCAATACACCTTTTTCTAGATGTTACACAAGGTTTATACAATGGGCGCAGTGGATAGCACACTCGCCTTTTACCAAGCTGGCTGGGGTTCAATTCCCCGATCGGAGTTAAATGGATATGGAGTTACCTGTCCGACCACATAAACTTTTTCCAGGTACTCCGGTTTCCTCCCACATTAAGACCCCCTGCACGCTAAATTCTGGGCAGCAAGAGTGATTAATATAAGTGCAAAAACTTGTTTCATAATTATAGTACAATAAATTAAGTTTATATTCATTTAAACTATTTTCTTTTTCAGGTCAACCTTGTTTCAATTATTTTATCGTTTTAATTTGATTAACCTGAAATGATATAAAATAAGTACAGGTACAGGGTAGTATAATAGTTGTATACTAAAGACTTGCTATTTTTGAACTGGTTAGGATAGGCAGTCAGGCTAGGAATACTGACTTGTTATTTTTGAACTGGTTAGGATAGGCAGTCAGGCTAGGAATACTGACTTGCTATTTGAGTAAGAGAACAATAAGTATTAAAATTGTACCAGTCAGTTGTAGATGTAATCATAAAACAACAGAACAAGAGGCCCATGAACCTTAGCGGTCACCTGAGTTGTGTAAAAACTGATGTTATCGATGTTGCCAAATGAAAGAGAAATCATTTTGTAACAAAGAAAACTTGAACTACATGTAATGCGAAAGCTGTGTGAATGATCTGGGTAGTATATGTACTATGTACAAATAGTGGTTCTGTCAGTCAGTTGAATTGACTCAACACACAACACTGACTCAACACACAACACTTACTCAACACACAACACTGACTCAACACACAACATTGACTCAACACACAACACTGACTCAACAAACAACAATGACTCAACACACGACACTGACTCAACACACAACACTGACTCAACACACGCCACTGACTCATCACACAACACTGACTCAACACACAACCCTGACTCAACACACAACACTGACTCAACAAACAACACTGACTCAACACACAACACTGACTCATCACACAACACTGCTCAACACACAACACTGACTCAACACACACCACTGACTCATCACACAACACTGACTCAACACACAACACTGACTCAACAAACAACAATGACTCAACACACAACACTGACTCAACACACAACACTGACTCAACACACAACACTGACTCAACACACAACACTGACTCAACACACAACACTGACTCAACACACAACACTGACTCAACACACAACACTGACTCAACACACAACACTGACTCAACACACAACACTGACTCAACACACAACACTGACTCAACACACAACACTGACTCAACACACAACACTGACTCAACACACAACACTGACTCAACACACAACACTGACTCAACACACAACACTGACTCAACACACAACACTGACTCAACACACAACACTGACTCAACACACAACACTGACTCAACACACAACACTGACTCAACACACAACACTGACTCAACACACAACACTGACTCAACACACAACACTGACTCAACACACAACACTGACTCAACACACAACACTGACTCATCACACAACACTGACTCAACACACAACCCTGACTCAACACACAACACTGACTCATCACACAACACTGCTCAACACACAACACTGACTCATCACACAACACTGCTCAACACACAACACTGACTCAACACACAACACTGACTCAACACACAACACTGACTCATCACACAACACTGACTCAACACACAACCCTGACTCAACACACAACACTGACTCATCACACAACACTGCTCAACACACAACACTGACTCATCACACAACACTGCTCAACACACAACACTGACTCATCACACAACACTGACTCAACACACAACACTGCTCAACACACAACACTGACTCAACACACAACACTGCTCAACACACAACACTGACTCAACACACAACACTGACTCATCACATACCACCGACTCAAAAGTCATCACACAAAACAAACTTGACACCAAATTAACTCGCCTCACAACACTGACTCAAAACACAACACTGAATTGCTACACAACACTGACTAACACTGAGTGATTAAATCAATACAAAAGCCTGATTTTTTTCTTGAACATTACCCACCATATAACATTGACTTACAGCGTAACATTGCCTCATCACTTGACTATGACCTAAACAATGACTCAACACTTAATAATGACTCATTTAAAAATGTTGACTCTCCACACGCCACACAACACTGATATACAACATAACATGGATTCCAGTCAGTATATAAAAATTAGAGGCATCAGATATTAAGGAAGTTTACCTGATAGTGTCGAGGGTTCTAAACATCCGGACGTAGCTGATGTCAAACGATGACCCTGGATGAGACAGCTGAAACAGCAGACATATATTTTTTTGAGGCCAAAATCAATTTCCCTATCTTAAAGCTGGCAGTGCAAGTTAAAAAACACTTTAAGTGGAGTTCTGGTTTTCAGATGTTCCCGCCTGACTATCTCTTTCAGCTGTTGTATATAAGAGAGAGCCAACATTTTAGAATGTCCTTGCTTGGTAATGAGTAGGGGTCTCCCTGGGTATAAAAAGCTTGGGTTAGTTGAATGAAATGAAAGACATCAAAGAAATCATTTAACTATAGAATGATAACTGGTTAGACAGGTAATGCACTTTTCATACCCAGAGAGACCAATACTCTGTACCAAGAAGGAACAAACTAAATCATCTGCACTTCCTAAGAAACGATAGAGATAGTCACTGGGGAACTTCTCAAAAATAGAAAAAAAAAACCTTTCTATTGTTTTTAAAATCTCAATTGAAACATTTTTAACTTGCACTGTCAGTTTTAAGGATCCTCTTACCATTGCCTATATCTAACACTTATGTAGGTGGCCAATCACAAAACAGCTACACAAGTCTTCAAACCCTGGACCTCCAATTGTTAGTCTGTATCACTATAACCAACTCATGAGTTATAGTGTCAATGAAATTTATTCCTATTGCCATAAGAAACAACAATTTCCAAAATGAAAGTAAAGGGAACTTATTGTAACATCTTGTATTATCAGTGTAAAGTATGGTACTTTGTACTGCAATGGCCTGAAAACAGGCTGTAGCAGTATATTAAGATTCACCATGTACTTAACACATAATGAAAATGTCAGTCACAGAGAAAGGGGAGATAACACACCATGTTATATTGGGTCACACTGCATGGAGTGACAACACATAAATGCATGGAGTGACAACACATAATGACAATGTCAGTCACAGAGAAAGGGGAGATAACACACCATGTTATATTGGGACACACTGCATGGGGTGACAACACATAATGGCAATATCAGTCACAGAGAAAGGGGAGATAACACACCATATTATATTGGGTCACACTGCATGGGGTGACAACACATAATGACAATGCGAGACACACATTTATGAGGGGTTACAATACATGGTAAAGGGAGATAACCCACCATGACAATGTGAGATACACTGAACATCCACAGTAAAGTTTTGGTGGTTCTGTACTCATCCTTCTGCCATAGTGAGAACAGGTCCTGTAACAAAATATCACAGTGACAAAACTACAAATAGGACAAAGCTGGTCAGTGAATATCATAAATGTTTTCTATTTATTATGTACCAGTAAACAATGTTGAAATTTTCAAAATGATCGATTTATTTCAAGATATTTTACAAAAGGATTTCAAAGATTACAGAATTGCTTAATATGTAACTGGTCAGTTCATATGACTGATAGATATTAACAGGACATGTCTGACCTGTGTGGACTCTTCTTTGATCAGTTTCTGACACAAGTTGGCTAGTCGGTGGACGTCATAAAGACTGCGATGATGGAGGTATACAGCCTGACCCTCGTTGTCATAGTAACATTCAACATCTCCCTGGTAACAACCAAATTTATAAAACCAGAACCAGTGATTTATAAAACCCCTAAAGTTTTCAGAATCAGTTAATGCCACATGACTTAATGTATGATACCAATATCAAATTCAAACAGATTAGCACATTATTGAATTGGTGCAATCACAATATATTCAATAGATAACAATTTACAAAAACATCATTTAGCACAATCATAATTAACATCAATTCGCGCTATCATAAATAACGTCAAATAATCGCTATCATAATTAACATCAATTAGCGCTATCATAATTAACATCAATTAGCACTACCATAATTAACATCATTTAGTGCTACCATAATTAACATCAATTAGCACTATCATAATAAACATCAATTAGCACTATCATAATTAATATCAATTAGCAATATCATAATTAACATCAATTAGCACTATCATAATTAACATCAATTAGCACCATCATAATTAATATCAATTATCATTATCATAATTAACATCAATTAGTGCTCTCATAATTAAAATCAATTAGCACTATCTATTATCATAATTAAGAGCAATAGTTAAAGCATGAAAATACCTAGAATACTAAGTTGTTAACTGTGAATTAAGTATTACCTGGTTGAGACAGGTTTATATTTACTTGGTTGAGACAGATTTATATTTACCTGGTTGAGGCAGGTTTATATTTACCTGGTTTAGACAGGTTTATATTTACTTGGTTTAGACAGATTTATATTTACTTGGTTGAGGCAGGGTTATATTTACTTGGTTAAGACAGGTTTATATTTACCTGGTTTAGACAGGTTTATATTTACTTGGTTGAGGCAGGTTTATATTTACCTGGTTTAGACAGATTTATATTTACCTGGTTAAGACAGATTTATATTTACCTGGTTTAGACAGGTTTATATTTACCTGGTTTAGACAGATTTATATTTACCTGGTTTAGACAGGTTTATATTTACCTGGTTTAGACAGATTTATATTTACCTGGTTTAGACAGGTTTATATTTACCTGGTTTAGACAGATTTATATTTACCTGGTCTGAGACTGAGAGTCCTTTCTGTATCTCTGGCACAAACTGCATTAAAAAGAAAAGTATACCTACATTATCATTATCCATCAAGTTGCAAATAAATTTATTATCAAAGATTTTAACTAAAACATTGACCTACCATGAAGTGCCAAATCAATTCAAATACATGCCATTCACCACTGCCCATTTACATAAAACAGTGGTGAAAAAGGAGGGGGAGGGGGGAGG